TATTGAATTTATTGATAAATTGTAATAATTTGACATGTAAGATGATGCATACATCTAAAAAGGTTAAAAATAGGCCTTTGTAAAGGTAAATATGCAGATTTAAGTATGTAAAAGCTGATAGAACACTGATGAAAATATTGCTTCAGAATAAATAGTTTACTCCACCAAAAATCTCAGTGATGCAGTTATTTTGCAGGGATATTTTGTATAGAATATTGTCTGCTGACATGAAAAGTTCACTGTATATCATAGTAATAAATACCATTTATTACAGCATTGATATTTTGTTTTCTTTTTAATTTATAAATTTATAATAAAATATATATTTCCATTACAGGTTTAGGTCTTAAATTTCATATAAGGTGGTATTAAAAAGGTCTTAAAAAGTCTTAAATTTAACTTGTTCAAGTCTGCAGAAACCCTGTCCTCTGTATCGTTATCACTGTAGTTGGTGTGGACTCTGCCATTATTTTAAATTAAACGATTTTTAAAATGATATCAAGTTTTCATCCTTGGTGTGAATGGGCCTTTATTCTTGTAAGTGAATGTGTATTTAATGTAGTCTGGGTTTTTAAGAATGAGCATCACACAACCTGTCCTAACTGTGCACCATTATATGACTCCGAGAGAACCCATATATATGACCCATTTTTGGGAGCTGATTTGATTGACAGGGCCACTTTGTGCACATGACACATCTGACGGAATATTATATTGCCTAATCAGGTCTGTGAAAGCTGGTGTGAAGTCACTCCAGGCTGAAGTGTGACAGAGGTGAGAGATGCACTCATGAACTTTGTGCTAACAGGATTTGTGTGTGTGGCTGATTGTTATTGTAAAGATAATAATATATGAAAGATTTTCCGTGTGTGTGTGTGTATGTAATGTATGCGCAATATATAAGAAACAACAACAAACCCTCTTTTGTGCAGAACGTCTTCCTTCCGCCAAGGATTCAAATCTAAAGTTTGACAGTTTAACACCTGAGCCCAAGCCTCCGTTACTAATTCCAAAATGTCACTTTAGAACTAGTAATGAAGGAATGTTGCTTCATTGAAAGTTTATTGTATTACTGTATTAAAAGCTCACTCTATTATGTAAAGTATTATGAGAGAGAGATGGACTGAGTGAGTTTGATTCATTCTTTAGCTCAATCTCATATTCACAATAAAACACTAGTTTTAATGTCAGCTGAGGAAAGCAATATCTTTGTCGTACTATCCTTTCATCTGTTGAGGGTGATTTCCAATGACAGCGCTGCTTAGTACATTTATTGGCTGTCTTACAAGATATTGTTTAAAGTAAAAATAACTTCCTTGTTTACAGCCCTCTTTCAGTCTCTTTTAAAATAAAAGTCTTTACTGCTGACACACTCATAACTCGTCTCTTCGCCGGCGGAATAATGTAACTAAAATCACCATCACGAACACACACACCATTTCCCAATACTAAATACTATTATTAAATACTACTATTATTTACATAAAATATTATTTATTGAATAATAATATTTAATAAACATGGAACAAATAATAGATTAATGAGACCAAAGACTGGCCTTTTGAATTATTCGAATTATATCTCATGTTTAACCACTATATCAGAGCCAGCGGCAAATTCTAGAAGATCTGGTCGAGGTAAGGCTGCTCTTGGTGGGTTCATGATCGCTGAATGGCTGCTGACGGCCTGGAGCTCACATCTCTGAAAACGTTGAAGCAAATTTTCAAACAGACGTTATCTTTATTAACAAAACGCACATTGTAAGTCTAAACAAGTACATTCTCTCCTAAAAAAAAACTCTTAAAACTACATTCTGTGACACAAAAACTGTATTATTTATAAAATTATAGTGGATTTGGGCATCCGCCATGACACTTGCTGTGAGAAATACTGCAAATGTAGTGATACAAATGGTTCCAATACCACTAGAATATCACACTCCTCTCAGCCAATCAGATTCAAGGACAAGAAAGAACTGTTGTATAAATAGTGCATTGCGAAAGTATTAATTTTTTTCAGGTTTTGTTATGTTGCAGCCTTATGTTAAACTGCTTTAAATTACTTTTCCCCCCCCCACATCAATCACGATGACAATAAAGAGATTTGATTTGATTTGATTTGTTCTCCAGCTGTCTAAAACCTACGGGAACATATGCCAAGTGTTTCTGGCTCCCAAAAAAAATGGTGGTCTTAGTTGGATACAAAACTGTCAAAGAAGCTCTTGTGAACCATGCAGAAGAGTTTGGTGACAGAGATACTAGAGCTGGTTTCAGGATAATGAAGAATGAGCATGGTAGGATTCTTCTTTTTCTGCCCAAAATGTATATATACAAACTGTAAAAGCTAGACATTTCGTAAAACAAAGATGTTGCACAAACTTTTCATCTGGTGTCTGGAGAGTGTCTACCCCTGATCTGGAACAAAGCCAGACTCCGTCCCTCCGGCTCTGTCAGGCTCCTCCATCCCTTCGGCTCCTCCTCAGTTCTCTGTCGCTCCGGCTCCACCGCGGCCTTCTGGTTCCCCACCTCCGCCTCGGTCGCCGGCGCCATCTGCTCCGCCTTGGCCCTCAGGATCCTCCTTGTCGCCCTGGCTCATCAGCTCTCTGTCTCCACCTCGAGCTCCTCCGTCACCTGCTCAGCAGCAGTCAGTTGGCCCCCCGGAGTCGTCAGCCCTTCCTCCTCCATTGATCCTCCCTCCGTTGGCTCCACTGTGGGTCGGTATCATGGTTGTGGCCTGGGTCCCACCTGGCGCTGCATGCTCCAAGTCCCCCCTGTTTCCTCCCTGGCTCCTCCCTCCTTCTGATCCACCCTGGCTCCTTCTGTTTTCTTCTTGGCTCCTCCCTCCGTTGTCACCTTCCTGGACTCTGTTTGCTGGCCTCCTCCCGGGTGCCTGTCCTCCTCCCGAGCCTCCTCCCAAGTTCCCACCCGTTCCCTTCCGGGAGGGGGACGAAATGTCACGCCCCTGGACTCTATCTGTGTGATTTGCCCCCTCCATGTGCCTGCCCTGACCTAGTTTTTCCATGTGTTGATTGTTTATTGCTCCCAGGTGTGTCTCGTCATCCCCTCGTCAAGTCATGTGTATTTAAAGTGAGTCCTGTTCCTAGTTTCTTCGTCCGGTATTGTTCGTCTATCCCCTGCTACGTGTGTGTTCCTGAGTTCCATTGTGTGAAATAAATCTATATTTGTTCTGGATTCCCCGTCTCCTCGCTCCTTCAGCTCCTCGCTCCAACACAGCAGCAGACCGTGACAGCTATGTTTAAATGCGCTTGCGTTTGTCAATAGGACAAATGGAGTGAAAAAACTTTGCTTTGACGAGTTTGGTTTAAACAGCTCGTTCACGTCTTTGTACAGACATCAGAAGAATCCCCGCATAAGGAACAAGTGGATAGTTAATTTTTAATGGCATCCCAGATCGTGTCAGAGGATTGTTCGGAGTAATTTGTTTTGTAAACGAGGCACAGTGTCATGGAGAATTCACAAAGAAACATTTGTTTAAAGATGAAGTGGTACTAGATCTGACTGCAGCTGCATCACAAACCGTAAGTAAATTATTTCATATTGCTTTGTCTGGAAATGCCCATTTTATTTTGATCATGTTGTCAAAACCAAGCGTGCCGCACGAGTCCTGAAAGTAAAGCCAAAGCGTCTCGATCGCCCCCAGGTGTATGGCTGCAGTACAGGTCTTAAACCCCGCCCTCTCCATGTAATCTAATGGGACGTGAGACAAAATAAATAATAAAATAAATTTTTTTCCCAAAGATGGTTTCCATCATTTGAGGTAGTTCTTATCGTGCTGATTTATGTTTAAGTGTTCGTTTTTCTAAGAAGTTTGCTTCTAGGTAGTTATTTGATGCTATAAAAACGGGGTGTGGTGTCATGATTGTGAGCTTGTGATTGGGTCTGTGGGAGTTTGGGCGGGACTTTGATACCCCGGCTCCAGTTCACGACACTACTGCGCAGACTCTGGCTCCAAACGAATCTCTACTGTGCAGACTCTGGCTCCACATGACGTCATTTACTCAAGATGGCAGCTGAGGTGCTTTGGCTTCACTTTTCTATAGTGGAAGGAATTGGAGATGCGTTGTCCATCTTTTTTTTACAGTCTATGGTCAAAACACTCACATGCAATAGTGAGGGGGCGTTGACACTGTTTCCTATGCAATGATGTTAGCCAATCATAACAGTGACAGACAGATTCCTGACATGCCTTAAAGGACCTGCCCCTTAAAACCAAGTATAGGTCTCTGCAGGAAAGTAATGGGAGTTACCAGATTGGTGGGTGAGGCCAAAACAGAGGGGTGTTTTCGACCATGTTACCTGATTGGCTGACGTCATAGTGATGGGGCGTTGACACTGTTTCCTATGCAATGATGTTAGCCAATCATAACAGTGACAGACAGATTCCTGACATGCCTTAAAGGACCTGCCCCTTAAAACCAAGTATAGGTCTCTGCAGGAAAGTAATGGGAGTTACCAGATTGGTGGGTGAGGCCAAAACAGAGGGGTGTTTTCGACCATGTTACCTGATTGGCTGACGTCATAGTGATGGGTAGCTTTAGGGGTGAGGTCAGGTAAGGGGATCATTTTCATTGCATGATTTAGAAACACACAGCAGTTTGAAAACACCCACAAAGTCAGAAATGCCCACTTTTGCTCTGCAGAAACTTCAATCTCCTTAAAACAGGTTGTTTTAGAGAGAGGGACAGAATGAGGGTTGAAAATAATAATTTCTCCAAATATTTATTTGTTTTTGTGCAAAAAACGTTATAAATATTATAAGTAAACATCAAGGAACATATTAAAATAAGAATGACCCCTTTAATGTATTATCTTAATTATGAACACACTGCACTTTATACTTCTCATCATTTCTCTACAGTGGCTGATGAACCGGACATCTCGCACATTCACAGAAAATAGTTTTTTTCCGCAGTTTAAAAATAAGGTGAAATTCCCAAAACTTCCAAAATGAGTAAAGCGCTGTAATATGAGTGAAACATTTTGAGGTTAATGGCTAGATTATGCATCAATAAAGAATGTTGTTACTGATAGTTTGGAGAAATAAAAAGGTATTCTAATTTGTATTTAAATAAAGCGTAATAGCGAGCTTTTTTCCAGGCCCACTGGCAGGAAGCGCGTGAAGAGTCAAGTGTTGGAGATTAATTTCCGCTACTTAAAGAAAAATGCATTGTTGTTGTTTTGGCAAACATTGTTTTTGTTGGTGGTGATGGCTGTGTGGGCGCCTTACTGTGTTTTTTGCTTATTGTTCATGTTTCGACATTAAAGGTTAATAGGTATAAACTGAGCATGCTTAAGAATTTTGGTGGCAGCCAGTCAAACGCAATACACATATTGTTGTAAAGGAGGCTAAAATATGCTAAATATGATCTAGTTATCTGCAATAATGCCCGTTTATATAAACAGATTGCAATAGTAACACCACGATTAACTGTAAAATTATTGGTCTTCAAAGTACATCCACAAATGTTAGTGATCAGTGAATTTTCTCTCCATTTCCAGGTTTAAGTAAGATTTTCGATGTGGTCTCTGACATAAAAATACCAGCCCTGTATTACTGTATCTATTGGTTACTTTGATTTACAGGATGACTTCCATCAGAATCACATGGTGGCATTCCAGTAAAATCACGTGGATTCAGCTGGTAGACTTTTAGCATTTAGGTAGCTCAGATTGTAATATGGCTGTTGTTGTATCACTTCTGCAGTACAGGTACATTACTACATTGCTGTTGCTTCTGGCTGGGGAACTGGCTGACACTTGATTCATTTTGTAGAGTTTTACGAGTATATCACTCTCAGCAAAAAGGTACAACGCTGTAACTGGAGTGGGATCAGTACAAAAGCTAAAAGATACCCCTAAAAATTCTACCCTTAAAAAACAAAAAAACAAAAACAACCTTGCCACATGTATTGCGTTAGGCTAACCGAGACTTGTCATAGCACTTGCATTTTATTGCTCTTTAGTTGATTTGATTGCTTCTTTTGTCCTCACTTGTTAGTCGGTTTGGATAAAAGCGTCTGCTAAACGACTAAACGTAAATGGTACATATTTGTATTTGAAGTGTACATATTAGCACCTTTTGAAAGGATGCCGCTTCCAGTGACAGTTTTGTAACTTTTTTTCTGAGAAAGCATGGGTTGAAAAGACAGATATACTAATTCCACTATTTTATGCCATTGATTTACCTTGAGCTTGTGTTCTTGAACCTGTTAGCACTTGTGCGTAAAAATAAAAACACAATGTTAACCTCTGTCAACCCCTGACACAGTTAGCAATAAAAGCTAATCATCCTCAGTCTGGTGAAGGTTCAGCCATGGGAAAGGAGGACAAATGTCAACCCATTTTTCACTACAGCAGCAACAAAGGTATTTAAATCAGCTCCCATTAGCTCTGTTCCAAAACACGTTGTACTGCCTACCTAGACAACATTTTAAACAGACAATTCAACAGTCTCTCTCTCTCTCTCTTAGGATGCAGGATGTGTCTTGGAGAGAGTTTGGCCGGGATGGAGCTCTTCCTGTTTTTCACCTCCGTTCTTCAGAGCTACACTTCACAACTCCACCAGGAGTGTCTGGAGATGATCTGGATCTCAAAGGAATAGTCGGACTCACATTGACTCCGTCCCCACACAAACTGTGTGCGATCAGACGCTCATGATTCAAGAAAATAAAATCAGAAAACACAGAAACAACCTCATTGTTGTATGATTTTTTACACTCATTTTACAGTGCTTGTTCTTCCGAGTAAATGTATATGCGTAAATAATGAGCGATGTGTGAAAGCATGTCTGACTTCTGGTATTACAGAGCTTCTCAGACAATTATAGTATTATGGAAAATAAACTTTCTGTGTTGCTAGATTATAAATCAATGAATAATGTTGTAACTGATTGTACAGAGAAATACAAATTATTCTACTCTGTGTTTAAATAGAGCACAATTGCAACTTTCGTGCACCTAGTGGTAAGAAGCGCGAGCGCTCTTTCACAGAGCTTGTGCAAAGAACATTTGCATGGAAGCATCACATGTTTTACCTCACAAATAAAATCTTTTGAAGCAAGTGAAAGATTATGTGTATCTTTAGTCAGATGCATTTACATTGTGACTGTGCCTCAGATGTAATCAACTGAAACTGTTTACAAAAGCATGGCCCAAGTGGGTCATGTAATTATTCCATTAGGTCAGCATTAGGTCAATGCATCATGGGCTCTCCATGGGAGAGGTCCTATCAGGTCATCATGAGGTTACACTATCATTGGCTCTCCATGGGGTGTTATTGTATTGTTTGTAGCACAGGGCTGTCCAAACTCGGTCCTGGAGGGCCGGTGTCCTGCAGAGTTTAGCTCCAACTTGCCTCAACACCTGACTGGAAGTTTATATGCCTAGTAAGAGCTTGATTAGCTGGTTCAGGTGTGTTTAATTAGGGTTGGAGCTAAACTCTGCAGGACACCGGCCCTCCAGGACCGAGTTTGGACAGCCCTGTTGTAGCACAGTTGTTACCAGGTATAAAGGTCTGGTCTCACAGACAGTACCTTGGGTTAAGATTGTTTGAAGGATGACATATTAACATCACTGCTGAAGAACTGCTACACTGCTACCTTCAATAAATTATTCTCCGCACAAGAACTTTGGTCAAGCTTACTTATTTTATGTATTGGAGAAATCTAGTACATTGGCGAGCCACCCAAACTACTGCTCAGCAAAATACAGCAAAATCTAACACACGCATTGTATTTAGTATATTATTGTATAAAGTGATGTTAGAGCTCTTCTTTATTTCCAGCATATTGCAATTTAATTGAGTTCTTTTTCACACCTGCTGTGAAGAAATCAAGACGAATACAGTTTCTGCCCAGTTTTACTGGCCATCGATCCTGTACCACAATGCTTCTATGCTTAAATGTGCAGTTTTAATAAAGTTTAAGTATATGAAACATTTTTTTTTTCAATTACACATTCACACAGTTACACAAACTGCCTGAATCCAAGGCAGTGCTTTTTAAAGCTGTGACTGACAGATTGCCAAATTTAGGAGAAAGGAAAACTTTGGTTTTAATACTCATGTAAACACACTGATGATTTGCGTATGTCTCTGATTTAATTCTTATAAAGTTTATAATATATGTACAGTATATATAAAATTAATAATAGAGCTCATAACAATTTTTCCATTTTTGATTAAAGATCGGTGTTACTCATCTGAACGTGGTAGGTGAGAGGTTACGCAGGCTTTAAGTTTAATAAAGGTCACAGACTTCTGTGTGTCATAGTTCAGATGTGCTCATTATTTGCTGACTACTGTCAATTGTAGACAATATCACAATATTGCATACTGTATATAAACCAAAAAGCATGCAATAATTTTGGTGCAAAGATTGTGTTAAACCTACACTTTTGCTTTTATGGCTTTATTGCTTGAATAATGTTCCTGTCCTGTCCACAAAGAACCATTCAGTCAAAGGTTCTTTAAAGAACCATCTCTTTCTTACCTTTTTATAATCTGAAGAACCTTCTTTCGCCCCAAAGAACCTTTTGTCAAACAGAAAGGTTCTTCAGATGTTAAAGGTTCTTTATGGAACCATTTAGACAAAAAGGTTCTTCTATGGCATCGTGAAGCACCTTTATTTTTAAGAGTGTACACACTAACCACACCAACCTGTTCTTCTCATGGATTCAAAGAAAATGTTTAGGATTAGGTCCCTCCCTTATACAGCTGATATAAATGTGCGAGTGCATCAGTTGAGGAGCTCAGAGAGATAATGGCTATTGTCGAGTCGCTGCTGCAGTTTCCCAGCACAGGTACATTACTGGGAGCTTTGCTGTTGCTTCTGGTTTTGTATTTGCTTTCCTCTGGATCTAAATCTCAGAAAGAAGGGAAAGAGCCACCGGGACCCAAACCACTGCCGCTGCTGGGGAACCTGCTGACCCTTGACCTCACGAGACCCTTTGACACCTTTTTTGAGGTGTGAACTTAACTTAAACACATTCAAATAGTGATAGTAACCTAACATTTTGTGATTTGTGTGTAAATGTCTTTCTCTGTGTTCTCCAGCTGTCTAAAACCTACGGGAACATATTTCAAGTGTTTTTGGGTCCCAAAAAATCTGTAGTCTTAGTTGGATACAAAACTGTCAAAGAAGCTCTTGTGAACCATGCAGAAGAGTTTGGTGACAGAGATACTAGAGCTGGTTTCAGATTAATGAACAGAGAGCATGGTAAGATTCTTCTTCTTTTTTTGCCCCAAATGAATGTGCAAACTGTAAGACATTTCACAAAACAAAGATGTTGCTCAAGCATTCAGATCTTCATGGCCTCTCAGGGCCAATGAAATATACTCAAATGTGTATGACTACTGAAAAACATTGATTTTCATTAAATTAGCTAAAATATGAGCTGATTATAAGGATGTATACAAACCAGCCACTTTGATAATGAAAACCCTTAAAATGCTTTTAATTATGGGACTGTTGGCTTGAAATTGTGTATGCTTAAGTGAGTATATGTAGGTTACCAGCAATGTTTGGTGACAGAATGTGTAAAATATAAATTCATGGCCAGTCATTTGTGAAATGACTTGTCACATATTAATCTGCCATAAAATGCATGCTGACACTGTCTATGTCCCAAAGGTCTAAGGTTAATGTATATTTAACTCACTGCTTAACTTTCTGCTGGTGTTGCTGCAGACTAATGGTCTGATGGTTTTGTGTTGATCAGGGATCATCTTTTCCAATGGAGAGAACTGGAAAGAGATGCGACGCTTCGCTCTCAGCAACCTGCGGGACTTTGGGATGGGCAAGAGAGGAAGTGAAGAGAAAATCATAGAGGAAATTCAGTATCTGAATGGAGAGTTTGATAAGTTTGAAGGTACAAGCTGAGACACACACATGCAATCATGCTCTTAGTTCATAAGATCCATTGATTTGTTGTTTCCTCTTCACAGAGAAACCCTTCGACACGACACAGCCTGTGAACTACGCTGTGTCAAACATCATCTCATCTATCGTGTACGGCAGCAGATTTGAATACACAGACCCTCAATTCACTGAAATGGTCGACAGAGCAAACGAAAATGTTCGGGTTGGTGGATCGACTTCAATGATGGTAATTATGATTTATATGTTAACCAACATTTTTTTCCACTGCCAACAGACATTATAAAATGTATTATTTACACACATGGACCTGTTTTGCTGTTCTGTATAAAGTACTCAAATCAAACTTAAACAGATCACCCTTTTACTGCAGATTTATTTCACTAATATTTGACAGTCATAATCTAAATATGATTTTCATTTACAATAATCAATACTAAAATTTAGCATTAGCAACTTTTCGCACATGAACAGTTCAGTCAATTGTTAACTGTATCACACTGACTGGAATACTGAATCAAAACCCGAGAACAGCTGCGATCAAAACAATCCAATTTTCCAATTAATCATTTAGTGTGAATAGCAAAGCCTTGTGTTGTGTTCAAAACCCTATCATACTTGTGATGTTCCAAATGACCCGGCCTCAAAAAATTGCTTATAAATCACTCATTATGCTATATTATCATATTATTATTATATTAAAAGCATTTCAAAACAAACTCCCTGATTAAACATTAAAGTACACTAGTGCGATAAACAGTGTACTTTCTCCACATTTTATTTAATATTGTGAAAATTATTCATAAATAATCCTTTTTTCACTCAAAAAATGAGGTGCCTACTTTCAGATAAATGAGGCCTACGATTAATCAGAAGCAAATATAAATACAAAACCAGTCCTAAATTAAAGAAAAGTTGACAGAAAGATTGAATCCAATATTTGGTGATAATATAGCATAATGAGTGATTTATAAGCAATCTTTTGAGGCCGGGTCATTTTTGACCGGGAACACCACAAGTGTGACTTTGTGCCATTTTGTACAAAATAAAAGCCTTTCAAAACAAACTCCCTGCTTAAACATTAAAGCACACTATTGTGATAAACAGTCCAAATTTTTTTCAGTTTTTATTTAATATTGTGAAAATTATTCATAAATAATGCTTTTTTTCACTCAAAAAATGAGGTGCCTACTCTCAGATAAATGAGGCCTACGATTAATCAGATGCAAATATAAATACAAAACCAGTCCTAAATGAAAGATAAGAAGTTGACAAAAAGATTGAATCCAATCTTTGTTGATAATATAGCATAATGAGTGATTTATAAGCATTTTTTTGAGGCCGGGTCATTTTTGCCCTGGAACATCACAAGTGTAACAAGGTGAAAAATCTCCCCCAGAAAAGTATGAAAATTATAAATTTTTTTTAGAAGTAGTTATACCCTTTGTGAACAAAGTCACAAAATTTCAGTCCAATGCGATAACATTAACTAATATTTTCGGGAAAAATAAAATTTTCTCAGAGCAAAAAGAAACCACATGAGTGTTTTAACTGAAAACAATCAGCTTGTTCATGAATCATACGTTTCCCATCTAGGAGCGGATGTTGATATATTTTGATAAAGTATAGATAATTTACAATTTTAAGCAAATACATTAACAAAGTTAAAATACTATCTGGCACTGCTGTTTTGTAGAATGACATAAAACCTACCACAGATAGTGCATCTTTGGAGAACGTGTGACTCAGTATTTCTCGTCTCTCATTGTCCATTTCTAGCTGTACAACATATTTCCATGGTTGGGTCCATTCCTGAAAAACAAAAAGATTATTATACACAATATTCTGCAAAATAGACAACAGATGACGAATTTGATCAATGGGCTTCTTGAGACTCTGAATCCACACGACCACAGAGGGTTTGTCGACTCCTTTCTCATCCGTAAACAGAGCGAAGAGGTACTTCATTTTTATTTATTTTTTTGCTCATCGCATTTTCACTTATGATTCTTTTTACTGTAAATTAACACTGAAGATGAAAATCATCAGTTTGCACAAGATCTGAATGGGTCTACTTTCATTTTGGGTTTAGTAGTATATTCATTTTTTTAGTTTTTAGCTCAGTGAATAAATAATGAATATAAAAAACTGAATAAATATGCATTTTGTGGATTGCATTTGACAGAAATCTGGCAAGAAAGACTCGTACTTTCACCAGGACAATCTTATGCTGACGGTGGGAAATCTCTTTGTCGCTGGTACTGACACCACAGGAACGACTCTGCGCTGGGGTCTGATGCTTATGGCCAAATACCCTCATATACAGGGTGAAAACACAGTAATGTCAAGAGTTTTTCCTAATTTTTGAATTCAATGGTGTCCAAAGGATGTTTTGGATTTGTGTGCAGATCGAGTTCAGGAGGAGATTAACAGAGTGATCGGTGGACGTCAGCCAGTGGTGGAAGACAGAAAGAAATTACCATACACAGATGCTGTGATCCACGAAACTCAGAGACTTGCCAACATAGTACCCTTGAGTCTACCACATATAACCAGCTGCGATGTTACCTTCAATGGATACTTCATCAAGAAGGTCAGTCAGAGGAATTAATATGTATAAGGCCTAGTGAATCCATGTGGGGCCATGTGCATCTTGTACATCAAGGTTTTGGTCTTTTCTCCATTTTCTAGGGCACCACTGTAGTTCCTCTGCTGACGTCTGTTTTGAAGGATCCAAGCGAATGGGAGAAACCAAACAGCTTTTACCCAGAACACTTCCTTGGTGAGAAGGGCCAGTTCGTCAAGAGAGATGCTTTCATGCCCTTTTCTGCAGGTACAGAGAAACTTCAGCTCAAGCCTATGAACATTCAGGGGACCAAAGCAATTTTAGATAGTAATGGTCTTTTCAATTTCAGAGAATAAAATGATTAAATAATTTATAGGGAGTTAAGAGAACGTATGTGTGCTGTTAGGGTAAAGACAAAGAAAGAAAAACTGTAAAAGAACTAGAAATTATTATGAAGCAATGCATTTATTTTAATAAACACACATTCACTCCTAAGGCTGGAATATAACTTAGAAAACAACCTTTATGTCATAATTTATTTTTTATGTCTTCATGATTTTTAACGACTTTTTAATGTCATAACTATACATTTTTGTCAGTATTTTTAAATGTTGATCTCATAATTTCAACTTTTGCGCATCATATAGTTTTGATTAACAGGCATGATTTTTTTTTTTTCATTGAGAATGAAGTTAACCTACCTTCAGCTAACTTGATTAGTGACAGGACTTAGTTTCCAATTTTCAGCAACTGCCTTCAACTTCTCTCCAGTCCACAGACTTCAAATCGGGGCAAAAACCTGGGCAAAAAAACTTGTGCAGTGTAGCATATGCCTGATCAAAGCCTTAATCGAAGCTAAAAATATCCAGAATGGCTCCCTTAATGTTTGTTGTCTCATCACATACAATTATGAATTACACGAATCAGCGCTGTATTGAACAAAAATAGTAGTTTGCATCACTGGATATACTGTACAGTACTGTCAGTCGTCTAACGTATCGTGAAACAAATATTAAATGTTTATAGGTACCTATGTCTCTCTTTAACCGTTAACCTAAAGCGTTGCGATAGGACTCGCGCTCGTCCTTGTAAAGCCCGCCTTTTTTGATTTGATTGGCTACCCCAATCATTTTAACATTGACGAGCGTTGTTAGAACCTCTCTCTCTCTCTCTCTCTCTCTCTCT